AGTAATGTTGAGTGTTAGAATATTAAACAAAAAAAATGTATGTATTCACAAAAACTCATTTTTTTAGAATTCCTAGCAAGGTATATTTTAAATGTTTCAATAACTCTTAATCATTTTTATCGTTAAGATATTCATGTAAAATAAATTTTATAACCATACCATCCAAGAAGAAATTTTAAGTTTCAGTTTTAAAACGATCAAAGAATTACGCCAGTTCTGGATACTGGCAACCTCGTACTAGAATAATACTGGCTGGTATCTTGTCTAGGTACTATTCTAGTATTTTCAGTCAGATTTGACTGCTATTGCTGGTAGAGTACTAACGTCATACTGGTTAAACAAATCCTCTAGTATTGATCTGTCAGTAAAGAAAAGGGATATCAACCGAGACATAGACCTGTATTTGTCCAATACATGTAGCCGCTACTACGTCAAAATTGCAAATACTGTTGCAGTAATGTACCTGTCGATAATTTCTAATTTGGTTAAATTACAATCAATTTTTATTAAAAAATATTTTCCTAGGTTAATTCCGTAGTGTAATAACTTTTTGCAATTTAATCAAAAAAATAGAATTTTACCTATTAACGTTAGCAATTCATTACTGTGTACATTAAAGAACAATAAAATAAATTTGAAAACTATACAGAGTGATTCTTTTAATATTTGCTACTCGATTTTTCTTAAAAAAATAATTATATTTAGAAAATTCTTTTTGATATTTTTAATTTTATATTTTTCTCGATTTAAGCGGAATACATTGTATATAATAGGAACTTATTTTAACAAAACTTTTGAAATATCTAATCAGCTATAATATTCTGTAAATAATTAATTAAATATATAAAATATTTTAACTTAATAAATAAATCTTTATGAAATTAATTTTAATTGCGAATTTTATAGTCTAAACAAACAAATGTTTTTCTTATTAGTGATAAATAATAAAAAATTAAATAAAAATAAAAATTAATGCTTTAAATGTAGTTTAAGAGGGCAACAATTATTTTAAAAACCCAGCCCCTTGGTGTCGCGGCACAGTGGAGACGTGGAATAGTGGGTCACGTATAGATGGTATTTGACAGTGATTAAAATCACTACGATAAAAAACGCTTCGATGCAAATCTGTAGACAGTGTTTAATTTTAAAAAATGGTGGATTATTCCAAAAGCTACATGATCTCCTATTTCCTTATTTATATTCTGATAATAAGTATATGATTTATAAGTGTAATATATGAATATATATATATATANTTTATTTTCATAAATAAATATATATGTAAAGGGATCCGATTAAAAAAAAAAGTATGTTGCATACATTTTTCAAAAAGTTATAGCATTATAAAGTTAAAAATATAAAAAACAATTTTTTACAAAAATTGCATTTTTTATTAACTTTGATGTCAGTTTTTATTATTAAAACAAAATAAAGTCCGAATTTTTTTTTTCATAATAAAGAATATTATATAAGCTTTAAATTAAGGTATATTTAAAAGTGACAGTATAAAAGTTAAGTTGAAAAAGTTTATTTTTTGTGAAAAAGTTGTCATTTTTAATTCCCCCTGTGGGCAGTTAAAGAGTCAAATTTATAAAAAAAATATACACAATGATAAGTAAAGACATCATGTATCTATAAAAAAAAATTAAAACGATTTTTTAATTTTTAAAAAAGTTATGGCAGTTTTAAGTAAAAAAAATTGAAAGAATTTCGAAAATTAGCGATTTTTAAATTTGTAATATTTTTGGTAATTTCCCTCATTTACGGAGAACGAGAGATATTTTTTTAATTTTTGAGGGTAATGTCTTCAACTAGATACGATTTGTGATCTTTTGACGTATCGTTGAAAGAAATCGGTTCAGTAAGAGCTCAGAAAAAGTGGTAACAGACACATACAAAAAAAAACACATAGTAAAATGAATATCTTCTCAGCTTCGCATCGAAGCTAAAAAATGTCAACCAAATAGTAATTGTATCAAATTTATAAGGATGATCAGTTATGTCTAAGATACTCTGTATATTTAAAAATAGGTATGCCTTCTTAAGTACTATTTTAAAAGTTGTTATCGGATAGTTATTTTATTGATTATATAATTTTTTATTCTATATTCTATATTCAATATTTTTGTTGCTATTTAAAAAAATAAAGTTGATACCCTTATAAGGTATACGAGATGAATTAAAAAATACTTAATAATTGATAAATCAATAAATAAATAAAATTAAAAAATATCAAAAGAACTTTCTTAACTCAATTATTACTTTAAGATAAATCGAGTGATTAATATTAAAAAAATTACCTTGTAGTTTAAGACATATGAGTTTATTGTATTAATATGATGAAACTAAAAATAAGGGGAAAAATATAACTAATAAAATAAAACATTGATAGGCAACAGTATACTGAAGGTATGTATGATTAATAAGTATCCGTGGTTTTAGATTTGACACATTTTACTATCAATCATTTTTAGTTAAATTGCAAGGGTATTTCCTTAATTAAATGTACTTTTTGTTAATTGACACATTTAATATCTATAATCTATTATTTGACTTTTAAGCTAATTGCTAATATTAAAAATTGTTTGCTTATAATTAAAGTTTACAAAGTTTTTTAGATGGTGTACCTCATATTTTTAGTTAAATACTATACAAATATTTGTTGTCATACTTCGTAAATCGATTACAGTATAAAATTACTAGCAGCTCAATTTACTTGTTGCACTTATGATAAAAAAATAATATTTGTTTTGACGACTAACATAAATAAAATACATTGAAAGAATATTTAAATTATTCCTTTGAATTATGAATGATTAAAATGTTAAATAAAAACTCAGCTATTGGTATAATATTCAGTAAATTGTAAAATTGAATAAATAAATTTAAAAAAGTGAGATAATTATTCTTAATTTGTAAATAAGGATGATAATAATAGTTGAATTATAATTACACGCACAACCCATCCAACAATATCTTTCAGGTCATTGACCTAATCAAGGGTACCCGAAAGAAGGCTGGAGGTGACATTGCACGTCCTGGGATTTTTCGCTTCATGATTAACGAAATACATACAGTAATAGCTACCAAATCTATAAATATGAGTTAAAGCTTTTGTTAATGTAAAGTAATTCCTGCGACGACTATTATTTGCAGAATTCTAAAAATCAAAGTGGGTTATTTGAGGAATACAGGTTAAAGACAACCCGTGTCCGACCATGAATCGTGCGGCTTTGTATTGTTCTTGTGAATAGGGTAAGTAAAATGTATTATCTGTTTATTTATAAAATTATTCTAAAGGACACTAATATTAGTAATAAAGTTGCTAATGTTCTTGCAAGGAAGGTTTTATGTAATAGAAATATTGATTGATATAGGACGTAACTAGGGGTCTGTTAGGCACTTATATATTAATAATAACAGTCTAATTGCTTTAGAAAAAAATATATAATGTATAACATGAAATGATATAGTGATATTGATAACTATGATAATTTAGTTGCTTTGTAAGTATCAGGGAATAAAAATTATTTTTCTTAAATTATAGTTAACTCCACATAGTAAATATTATGAAACACAACACTAAGAATAAATCTAAGTTTTCTTAATTTTTATATAATATTTAATACTACGAAGGCTTTAAAATCAATAAATACTTTATTCGAATGTCGAATTGAAAATTGTTTTTTGGGATCTGTTAACAGCAAAAATACAAAAAACTTTTGTACTAAAGTACGAGTGAACATTTTTTAAAAGAAACTATTAAAAAACAAGGTGTGTTAACTGAACGAATTCGTATGAATATTGACTATTGACTACTCGATAGTGATGCGAAAATGTATTTACATTACAAAACTGGAGTAAACACAGTAAAAAGAATTCATATTTTTGTAGAGGCACACAATGTTTGTTTGGTAATAACTGAATAGGTAAACGGTCCATTCAAAAATATCAATTCTGCAGTACAAATGTCGGTACCGCAAACAAGCTAACATTATGAAAACTCTGAAAAAAAAAACTGATGATATCCGAAACATACAAAAAATTATTTGAATATGTTATTCTGATAAAATACAAAAACAATAGTATTTTGGCACTCTCTAAGGTAAACATGGACATTTCTTTTACTTCTAATATATTGAAAATGCTTGTTCAAGTTAAAAACAAAACTCTAAGCGAAGTTCTATAGCATACATAGATGTAAGTTGTGTGGCTCTCGTTTGTTATTGTAGAATTTATTACAATAACACATGTTCCAAATAAGAAACCTATGTTCTTGAAGTATTGTAGTATCATTGAAAATATAACTTTAATTTCTTATGTAGGTTACAACACCAGTTTTCAATTTTATTTGTAGTATAAAACCGATTATTACTCTATATACCTACACTTTTTGTACCTTTACTTAGTCGAGTATATTTCAAACCCTTTACAATATCTTGCTTATTATATTGGGTATAATACTTACAACACTGCATTTACTTCGTACTAGATAAGAAAATATTTCAGTTTTTTTTTTTTTGATTCGTTCCTTTTTGTAATTGATATAAATCTTGAGAGAATACATCGTTTGGTAACAACGCGGATGGATTGTGACTATGGTGTATTACATTTTGTTGTCAAGGATTTGACGAATTTGGTACGAAGTCGTTTTGGTTGAAAAGTAGAAAGAACAAGAAAAAATTCTCCGCCTTTGAAAAACCTCTCGACCACGTTCTATTCTACAGAAAAGTTTTTGGTTGAAGTTTATTATGTTTGCTCATCGCAAACAGTAATGGTTACTCTTAAAGAAAATGTTTCGAGTGAAATAAATTTAACAATTTAATAAAAAAAAAAAATACCTATACACGTTTCACATTACAGTAGTAAAAACTTAGGACATATATACGATAAAACAAAACGGCGAAAGGCAAAGGAGTGTGTGATTATTATTGTGAAGGAAACTGCCGCGACCACCGGTCCATTTCACCAGCAGACGGCGTCGCGTATCCGATCGGTTCTCCAAAAAGATTTGCCGCCGCTTTTTCGTACCGTTTAGTCGCCTTCCGCGTTTGTTTCGCACAGTCCGCTGTCGTCCAATCGAGTTATCTTAAAATCGTAATCTTTTACCGTCGCCATCAACGACACCGCTACTAATATTTGTTACAGTTTTTTTTAAAGTTTTAAAAGTTTAGTTATAAAAAAATCACCGTTACAAGTTGGACTATTTTTCAGTTATTGTTGTTTGCCATTCGAGATTAAGTGCAAAAAAGTTTTGTGTAAGTTACATGTTGTTATTATGGTAATTATTCATTCGTTTCTTCGAACGAAAACGAAAAATAATGTTACACTATCAAAATGCTTTTTGGCTAATTAGTTTTATGGTATTATTATGTTTAAATTTGTTATAATGGATTCGAATGACATTTCAAACAAAATAACGATACAATCATATTTTGGTTTTTCCAGTTGTTCTGTCATACAGCGAGCTTTATGTAAAATAGATACTTCTAAAATTTACTGTTCAGCGTGTACACAGCGCAAAATATAATTTCAACATTATTTATCAAATACTTATTGTAAAATGCACTTGTTCATTGTATATTAAAATTAGTATTAAAAATTTAAAAACATCTGCTGGAAATATTTATTGTTAACTTCATTTTGTTTGATGAAATAAATTGTTTTATAAAGATTGTTTGAAAAAGTGATGTCTGTCAAAGAAAAAATTAATTTTAAATGAGAAAAAGAAATCGACTACATATAATTAAACTCTTACTTGGTGTCCATTTTCTGACGATATTTTTGAAATTCGTTCTTTGATTAAGCAATGACATAAGGAACTACTAATATCAACGTCGCTCAGAATAAAAGGATTTACGAGACTTGGTTTACTTGTGACTGTTGTTTATTTTATGAATAATTCAAGATGAGTTTTCATTATGTTTTTAGTAGGTTTCATTTTAAAAGCAAAATCATTTATAATTGAAACCTGTAACAAAATACTATTAAACTTCAACTTAGTATTATTTAGAAACATTCAAACACTTAAATGTATTCATTTTTAAACTTAATTCATCGTGATCAGCTTACAACTAGAGTTTATTTTGCATGATAACTCAAATAACCCTTTACTTGTATTTAATTGATATCTCCGACAAAACTAAGTGACCATTTATCGTTTATTAGTATAGATAAATCGAATATAATTACATTGTTCTAAAGTAATATAAAATTTATTTTCATAAATAAATTGTTTAAAAAGCTCTATTGCCAATATTTGGTAAAAAATAGATTAAAAATCATTATACCGGAAACTAATAATGACATGAAACATAATTTAAGATAACAAGTTTAGTTTCCTGGACTTTAATATTTGTATCAATAATATGTATTAAATATTCGTAACGCTAATATTTAATTAATGTGCATATTTTTCCAATTACACATTAAAAATTCAAATCTGTTATTTTACGACTCAATTAATCATAACGGGACTTTACTGGAAAACAACCATAAACGCATTTTAAGTGAACTTTATTGTTAAATTTCGTTAGTAATCTTTTCACTGTTAACTATTTAAGTAATTTAAAATTAAAACAAAAGATATAATAATACAATGCATTTTAACAACATCCCTAGTTTTTGTTTTGAAACAAACAAAATGTATTATAGTAAAGTTTAATGAACTAAAAAAAACTTTGATTTCATAATATCACAGAAAAAAAAATTAAATTATCTATTGGTATTTTATTAGCTGAGTACAACTACATTTATTTAGAAAAAATCTATCATAGGTTAGTAAGAAAAAATATATGGTATAGTTTAATGTCAAAGTTTAACAATAAGCCAAACTAAAACAGTATAAAACATTTACTTAGATCTAGCCCTTCAACAATAAAAAAATTTGTTATTACTGACTTATTACAAACATCCTAATTAGTTAATTTTCCTATTTCTTCAGAAATAAACATTAAATATAATTTCTCTTTTATTTTATGTGAACCTGTATACTTTTTACCCTTATTTTACACAAATGTAGCCTATGAATTGACGCAAATTATTAATAACAGAATGACCTCAATAATATTATAGACTTATTAAAATTCTGAATCAAAAATATGTAATATTTTTATTATGACTTGTTTATACTAAAATATATACTACAGTACATTGAGAATGGAATATAATACTAAAATAAATACAAATTTATTAAAGATATAATTTATTATAAGATATGAATTAGAGCTTAATAGTATTTAAAATTGAGTTAAATATATATACAATATTTTATGCACACTCAACTTTTTCTTTTAAATTCTTATTCTATTTGTGATATTTACAAAAGAAATAAAAAAAAATCATAAATAACCGAAACGCAATTTGGCGGGTTTTGTATGGTTTAGTCATAATAAGACTTGACAACACAGCGAAATATTTAAGTTTTTCTTGGCATTATTTACCTTTTAAATATAGGGATAATTCAATGTAAGTTGTATAGAGAACAAAATAATTTTCAAGATTAATCAAGTTCGATCAAGTTATTAATTATTTCTGGAAAATCCTATGTTTATTTTCATCAGAAATGTTATGTTCTGGTATTTTAATCAACATTAAAGACTAAACAATTAAAAATATTTCAACTCGCTATTTATTTTTTTAGCAAATCTTAAGTATTTAATGTGAAGGTAAAAGTTAAAACAACTTTGTTTTACACTAAATTCCTGTACTCAAAGATTAAAGTAACTTTAATACCTATCTTAATACACGTTGGGAAATAGAATTGTTTAATTTAACTAACTGAAATAGTTTTGTAGGCTGTAGTTGACATTATTTTAAGATATCACGAAAACATAGTATAACTAATTATTAAATTACTCTAAGGGCACGTTAACATATTTACGTATACTTTTGATATTGTGGAATTTTATCGATACGCTTCAGAATTTTGTATAAATATTTACGAGAAGTATGTTTTTTTTTTGACAATTTATTTATGGAGATATACTTTAACAAAATTAAAATTGATGTTGTTTTTTCTTACAAAATTCTGTAAAATAAAACATAGATAGGTTTCAGACCTTACTATAATTTATGAATCAACAATTTTGTTGCATTTTCGGATCAAATTTTTAATAGATGTCAATCAATCATTTTTAATAGCTCATATATATTATAAAATTTTAAATAAAACTTTATTTTATTTATCTAATTACAGTGTCTCAAAATAGGTATTGAACTTTAACATTTAATTATAAAAAAAAAAACAAGAAAATATTTTACTATAGAATTACTGACAAAAAATTTAGTTTTCAGTGGTATATCATCTCAATGTAAATTAATGATTAATTTACAATTTTTTATTACAACAGCATTAAAAGCATTTGAAATATATTTCAACGTTACTTTAATGATCTTAAACGTTATTCTAATATAAAAATACTTGTAATTTAATTTAGTGAATTAACATACTACAAATAATATCATAATAGAAAGTATATTTTAATTATATTTCTTGAAAAATGATAGATATACATTTAATTTTAATGTTATTTGTTCATGTAGTTCAAAACAAAGAAAACTATAAATAATATTGGTTTAGAATTTTTCATATGATATGTTTTGTAAAGGAACTTATGGAGATGTACTATTCTTCTCAGAAATTTTGTTGAATGTTTCTTGTCATAATAAAAATCTTAATAGTAAAAAGCGTAAGAGAATAGTTAAGATATATATTTATTTGTGTTATGTAAATAAATTATTCCGTTTAACTTTTGTGTTGTGCTTTACAAAATAACATTAAATTTGAAAGTGTATTAAAAAAAATATATATTAATGTGAGTACCTCTTTCGCAATTTCATAAAAAATTATAAATAAATAAAAGGAACACTTATTTGTTTCTTTTTTGTTGATTAATTAATTATTTTAATCGTTTATGCTAATGTATTTGTAATCAAATATAATCCTATGTCATCAAAATAAATCAAAAAGTTATTTTACGAAATCTTGAGTCGATCTTATAAGTAAATAATAAAATGCCGAAACATCATAAAATTGGGTTTACAGTTAACAAAAGGTTATAAAACCAAAAAACTCACGCTTTACTTAAAATTGGAAAACCAAAAGTGAACAGCGAAGGATATATTATTGCAAATAACTGAGTATTTTTTTGATATAAAAAATATAAACACTGTTTTGCTGTTTTTTATCCACTCGAAATCTTGTCAGCAAAACATTGCTTACACTAACAATAAAATATATTCAATTTAAAGTCGAACCAAATAAATACAAGCAGTGTAAATTTGATTCGATACATATAAACGTTTTACATTCCAGCTCTTTATTTTTCTCTTTTAAGTCACCATTACAAAATAAATGTCACTTCCTTGGCTGATGTTTTCTCGCTACCTGACCAGCAACTGAAAAGTGGTATTTTAAAAAGTGGACGACCACCGTTACTGGTGTTCCCTGAGGTAATAATTTATCCGGGAAAAAAGGTGGACAAGCGAGTGGTGAAAAAACGGGCAGTGTAACTATTGTGTAACAGAGTGGGTTTTTCCATCGTAATTCTTTATCAAAAGATGGTGCCTTTTACGAGAGAAATTCCACGATAAAGAGTGTGGGGGAGGAAAAAAATGAAAGAAAGAGATAAGAGGTGGGAAAAGACCAACGTACGATAGCGATGGACGAGTCCGAAGAAAAATTTAACGAATGGGTCCTACGGGGTCGGCGGTGGCTTCTAATGGCGCACGGAGAGTTCATTAGTGCCTACCGCCAACGTGTACTTTACCATACCCTTTTCTTTCGCATGCCCGTCATACACATTAACACTGAAAAACTTCATCTATCGCCGCTCCACCACAACATCCAAAGCAAACGCAGTGCTGGTAGCTATAGCAATACATATGGGGACAGGACAGTGTGTGAAATGGAAAATTTTCTTTTATGTGTTTGCCCGTACACGAGTAAGTAGTCGCGCGTGTGTTTGTGTAATCTTGAGTCGACGGTGATGATGTATGGAGGCTAATGCGCTTTTGGTGCGAACTACCACTGAAATAACCTTTTCAAATAAGAAACGTGAGCACCCCGTGTATTGGTCGCCTGTTAGTTCATCTTCTTTTTTAAACCTTGAAAGCATATTTTTTTTTAAACGATCACGTCGTTAGTAAATAAATCGATCGAAAAACATGAGACAAGCATTTACATTTAAACAAATTGAGGCAGTTTGGAAAAATTAATACTGTGGTCAAACGTAAAACAAGATTAACTTGAATTAAC